TGGCAATTGGGCCACTTTGAACAATTGTGGTCTTGGCCCAGAAGACTAACCTCTTCTTTTCTTTCCTTGTTATGAAATTATTATATTGTGGATGTTTATTTATTATTCCGCTATAGATAATCTTCCTTATTTAGTATTTTGTTTAAGTTTATCTATAAGCAGCTGATGCAGGCAGGTTGCAAGCAGCTGAAAAAAAATCTCACAGCTGCTTTTTTTTTTTATAAATAGAGGAGTTTTCAGTTCATTATGTATATAAGTTTGAAGTTGAATAATAACACCCTCTCTCTTCATACTTGTCTTCGTTTTATTTACTTTACAGTTTTTATTTTATAACACGTTATCAGTATGAGTCTCTATATTTGAATATATAGTTATCTTTAACTTGAGATAATTTGGAGGAAAAGACGATGAAAGTCAAAGCTGTCTTACGTAGATGTACTTAGAAATCTCATAACTTTGAACAAGGTTCGTTTCTAATCTTACTTTCGCATGTTAAATATTTTTCTGTATGGACAACTATTATTAACTACAAATATTATGATGCTCTAACAATTTTGTTTTATCCATGTGAGCAATATTGCATCTTGAGATGGAGCTGCAATCAATACATATGGCTAATGATTAAGAAGGATGGTACCCGTACAAGGACTATAGCACCAACATATATATATATAGCCATCACTGTTTACTTCTCTAATTAACTTTTCAGGTGGCAGCCATGTCCTTTAATATTATATCATTATTTGTCTAATAAAGCGTATTTGAATTGTCACGTGGATAATAATAAAAGGTTCACTTAAACTCCAGCGGAGTTTGTAAGAAATATACAACCACCAAAAGTGATTATGTTTCGTATATTTCATTGTAATAAAATTTTATTAACCATCAGAAGTGGTATATGCCTATAACCACCATAAGTGATAATTTATGCTTTCTATGGTTACAATTGAATGTAAGCTACAGAAATATTCTATATATTACATGCATACCTCGATTTGCTCCTGAAGTAGTAAATATTTTAAAAGAGGTTAAAGCATCACAAGTTGATGTGATGAATGCGCGTTTATATAATTATGTTTCGTTCCCTGAAGGATGATAACTTTTGATAATATTAATCCATTCCCTGAAGTGTATGTGACAATATAAAATATGGACGCGCTCTTGATGTAAATATATTACAATTTACCTCCAGAAGAGGTAATATGATTAAGAGAATATATACTCAATATTTCGTATTTTAATTTGCTCCTGAAGTAGTAAAACAATTGAAATTTTCTCCTGAAGCAGGAAAATATTATGAAACTGTGTCTTTTTGTGCTTAAATAAAATAATGAACTATTCAAAGTTATTTTTGAAGCACATTTTTATTCCCTGGAGTGAATAAAGAAATATCACAATTCACCTCCTGAAGAGGTAAAATAACAAAGGATATAAATCTTGTTTTTGTGGCATAAAGATCATTGCCGCACGTACCCGTTGTACGTAAAATATCTTGGATAATTTTATTAAATATCATTATAAGGCCAAAACATTCTTGTAGAATGCTTCCTACTACAACCACATTAATATGTTATGGTTAGTTATCGAGTTCCTCGAAGAAAATAACAACTAATGTATATTTCCCCGAAGGATGTAATGATTATGTGGTTGCCAATTTGATATAAAATATTCAGATGTTAATGGCGTTTCTCCCTGAAGGAGACATTTGCAACACAGTTGGTGATAAAATTACTGAAATTCTTAATTTTTTATATTTATAAATTTAGAATTGTCTTTGTATTGTCCATTTGAGTTTGATTTTTTTTCTCATGATACTAGAAGTTGTCACACCTCCTTTTTCCGCACCCGCGAGGGTGCAAGGGAGTTTTTCCAATTAAAGGACANTCAACTGACAGTGATTTACAGAATAATAATACATGAATAACCTAAATACAATACAAAAAAAAATTAAACGAAATTAAAAATTTAACACTCCATTCTTCATTTCAGCTTACAAAATGCCAAAATTACAGTTGTGTACCTGATATTGTCAGAATAAGAAGAAGAAAGTCAGCAACGTAATACGTAACACAGCAACAGCAACAATAACCAGCAATAACCAGTCAACGAAAATCCCAGTGACAGATTTGAAAAATTCAAAATAAAATCCAGGAATGCCGAAAATAACGGACAAAAACCAAGGGAAATTTCCAGATTTTTTGAGAGGCTAGTTAATCTTCAACCCTTAATTTCTACACCTGTATACCAGAATATTTATCAGGTGTGTACTACTTTCTCTTCTAATTTTCAACTTTTTTTTTTCTTTGTATGTTTTTCTTTTCTTGAGAGTTTCAATATTTTTTCGGAATAAATGTTCAGCTCTTTTTTTCAAATCTCTCTTTTTTTCTCTGTCTGTGTCCCCTCTATCTGATTTCAAGACCTCTCCTTTATAACTCATCCCATAAACCTTTTAATCAATTAAAATTAACCCATTTTCTCTACCAAACCCATTATCTTCCCACTCATCCCCATTATATTAAATAAACATATCACACCACCCCATTATATTTGTCCTTCATGCCTAACATAAAATAATGCAAGATTCCCCTTTAAATTAAATCTTGTCTCCCCTTTATATTAAATAATCATA